GAGAGAGGGAGAAAGGAGGAGGGAAAAAGGAAAGGAGGAAGGAAGGGAGGGAAAAGGGATGGGGGAAGGGAGGGCTTGGCCTTAAGGGTGTACAGCAGAGCAGGGCATCACTTGGAATGGCAATTTGGTTTTTTTTTTTTTTTTTTTTTTTAGAAAAATCCACTTCAGCCATGGACCCTAAACCCTGGTATCATGCTGGCTGAACTATTTGTTAAAGATTGATTATGTGTTTTATATTAACCTGGAGTCTAAAGCCCAGTTTTGGAGGGAAGGTGGGAACATAAGTTACTCAAATAATGCTCACCACGGTTAACCCTTCCAGGTAAAGGATCAACAGAGTCCAGTGTGGAAAAAGAAGTTGTCACTTACATCAGGAAGAAGAGTGGCCCACCCACCCATACTTCTATCTGGGGTAAAAGATGTATTTCAACAGCTCTCCAAGTGTCTTTTCTGTCTGAACCTTGTCATATTTCTGCTAAATGCAGGCACTTAGAGGTCCAGCGTGAGTGGTGATGAGGTGGCCCTGGAGCACGCAGTGGGGCCTGCCCCCACCCAGCCTGTTCTGGGCTACCTGGAAGCCACCAGCTCTGCTCGGTTCCTGCCCTTTGGCATTTGTTACCAGTTTTGTGCTCTCATCCAGAGCGAGGACAAGGGAACCTGGTGGACACAGGACACCCGACCACAGGGACCTGACCTGCTCGCTCCACCACGTCACGGCCACGTGCAGGCTGTAGTCACAGCAGACTTTGGAGTCAGCCCAGCGCCGCCAGGTGTCGAAGGCATCCAGGAGGGAGCCGCCCTTCGGAGGGATGGCGAAGTCGATGATCGTGGTCGTGCCCCCCGCCAGAGCAGCCTGGGCCAGGAGAAGGGTCCACATGTGAGCCACCAGCTCGAGCCAGGCACATGAGCATGTGGTCACCCTGAGGGCCCGGGGAAATGTATGAAGTCTTGTCTCCTTCAAGCACACCCAGGGAAGGAATGGACTTTCTGGAGGGGCTGAAGGGTGGAAACTCAGCCTTCCCTCTGCATGAAGTGTGAGGGATGTGGTAAGACGAAATGGCTTTGACCCCAAGAAAACAGTGAGGGCTGTTTAAAAAACAAACAATAACAACAACAACAACAACAAAAACCCAAGTGGAAACACAGGGAAAAATTAAGATTTTTTTTTAAAGAACCAGGTTTCTGGTTTAGCACTTTCCTATCAGGGTGCTTCTCAGCGAGTTGCACCCCATCTGCCCCAAGATCCGCGCAGAATCCGGGGCAGTTCCTGCCTCTCCACCACAACCACCAAGTGACTTCTTTGTTTTCTTTGGTTCACGCCTGTCCCCTCCAACTACCCCAAGCCCCCTCTCGTTTAAGATCTTGACTGCTTTCTGAGCCGCCCATTGGCCACTGTCTCTCCATTCTGCCTACACCCACACGCACCCCAGTGCAAACCCTATTGCCCAGGCATGCTTCCAAAACCAGAGCTGACCGCTAGCGCCAAAGGTTAAGGGGAGGGCAGACGGGGAGACGCTGACTACCAGGCCCAAATCCTGCTAAACGGAGAAGTCCTGGTGCTGTCCTGCTCCCCAGGCAGCAGTTACTGGTGAAGCGCTGCACATTTGGAAATAGCCAGGAAAGAACGAATGCTCCGTGAAGCAAAGATTGATGCCTGGAGGAGAGACGCTTTCATTCTCCTGGCCTCGCTGCTACACGGTGCACACGCCACGTCCCGTCAGCAGGGAGCTACCTTGGTTTGACAGAAAATCCAGTGAGAATTTTGATCACAGCCTCTCTCCCTGCTCTGGAGGAAAGCGGAATCTTACGAATGTGCTCGCTCTTGCATCCTCCCTGTCACTACACACCTGCTGGCACGGGAGGAGGTGACTTCACAACTAATTTAAAAGCGAAGTCAGAAGCCTCTGACAGTTGATTTCATCTAAACTACTACCACCCCGGGTGGTTGGTGTACTTTGAGTTGTGGAGAGGAGAGTGTGGCAGGGAGCTGGAGGGCGCAGCCTGGCCACCACCTCAGGTCGTGGGCAGCTGGGCACATCTGCTGTGTGTGCTTCTGCTCAGTAGGCCCCACCTGCAGGGCGCGGACTGTCCCCCTCTTCCCTCATGGTCTCCTCTCCCCTCCAGCCACAAGGTCACTGGACAACGTGTGATGGGCAGTGCCTCCAGCCTCCCTCACTACCGCACCCCAGCCCTGCCCACACGGCCCCTCAAGATGCAACCCACACCCTGCCGTATGCCAGACTGGCACTATTCTACCTCCTCTCTGTTGCTTTCTTCAACAGATTTTTAAAGTTTCCTTAAGTTGGCCCTGCTCCAGTTGTTCTGGTTTTGGAAATCTCACTTTGTGCATGAGGTTCTATACTTCGTACTGTTAACTAATATTGCCTTATGAGGAACAGTACCTATTTACATTTCCTGAGAAATCCCTCTTGGTATAAGAACTTCACCAGAAAAAAATTCCTAACTCCTACATTTTTATTTGAAAACCAATCCATCTTCTCACTTGCTTCTTTAAGCCTATTACAAATCCAACAGGGCAGTTTTTCTGGTAGAACACACAATCGACTAAAATCTTAGAAGGAAGCGCTTTCCTAGGTTACCAAACTAGAAAATCAACCTTCAGAAACTGTGCTGATCCGCTGTGACAAGCCTTCCACTCGTGGGAGGTGGAGAAGCCAGACACGGCAGTCCCCAACCCCTGCGGGAAGGTGGCGCCCGGCCGGCCGGTGCGCAGGGCCCTTCCACAGACCTGCTCCGGGCTTCTCGCTCCTGCATGCTCCTCCCACCCTTGACGCCCCCGAGCTTGGAGCTTGGGGAGACTACTCCACGCAGCGCACATTGGGGGAGATAGTTGTAGTGCTGTATTGTTCAGGGAAAGAGGACTAGATGAAAGCCTGGACATGTTCAGTACTAGTGCAAATTTTAAAAATATTTTCACCCCACCGTTGGTTACATCCAGGGATTCAAATCCCAGGTGAACAGAGGAGCAGCTGCTGGGAGCGTAGCCCGGTGCAGCACTCACTCGGGAGGGAGGTTCTTGGCGACACAGAATCGCCCGCACCGCAGCGTGTCACCCTAGGGGGTAGGGGTTGTCCACACCAAAACCTGCACACAGATACGCGGGGCAGCTTTGGCCACACTGTGCCGAAAGGTACACACAGCTGAGAGGCCCACTAGCGGGTGATCGAGACGCGTGACACAGCGCACGCGCCGGTGCCGCGGGCTCAGCACAGAGGGGAGTACTGTTCTGGTCTGCGCGAACCGTGGGCATCCGGACAGCTCCATGGGAAGTCAAAGAAGCCTTCGCAGGAGCCCCGCACGGTGTGACCCTGGTGTGGAGTGTGCGTCCACGAGGGGCAAAGCCGCAGGTGGCAGGGGGTCAGCGGTCGCCTGGGATTGGCCGCCTGGTTGGGTTGGGGAAGCGCAGGGGGTCATGGAAAGGTCCACTGTTTGGGGGAGGGGTGATCAGAATGTTGAAGCGGCTGAGAAGGAGGCTGCACAGCTCCGTGGATGCGCTCAGTGGGCACTCAGGTGCGCAGTGTAAGGGGCTGAGTGGCCCTGCACGTGAGTCACATCTCAGCACTGTTGTCTAACATGTCTACGACATGCAGGTGTCTCGTGGGGTGGATGTAGCGGGGAGGGTCATACAGACTCCAAGGTTCATCCTTGGAGGCGTGTGGGCCACACAGAAAGATGGCTGTGAGGCAGGAATTACAACAACTGGACCATAGGACAAATCTGCTTATACAATAAACAGCAGCATAGGAGTTATGGAAGCAGAGGGGTTAAAAACTACCATGCTCCCTGGAAAAGTCCTGAGGAAAGATGACTGTGACTCAGGAGGGACCAGCTCAGAGAAGCAGGACACACGCAGGTCGCCAGTGTGCTTGGACCTGCTGAGCCTCAGAGTGCTCACGGGCCAGGAACCACCCGGCTGAGCGGGGGCTGCAGCCTGGTTGACATATGGTGGGCAGAGGTGAGCAAAGAACCACTTAGGAATCTGGGCGGACGATGGCTTGGGAAAAGTGCAAGACATGTTCTAGGGTCAGCCACTCAGCAGCACACAGCAGGGTCAGGATGGGAACTCGGGGCCAGGCCGTGGCTGACCCCTCAGGGGAAGACGGTGGATGTTGTGCAGGGTGAGACAAGTGGGAATGACAGGAGGACCGCAGCGCAGTCCAAAGGGACATCTGGAGTGTGAGGAGACATGAGACAGACAGTGCTGAGGGGCCAAGGGGACGAGGAAAGGCGGGAGCCTGGTGGGGGCTGCTGGGGGTCCTGACACTGGCTGGAAGGGCCAAGCAGGGTGTGAGGCAAGATGGACCCCTGTGAGCTCAGTGACAGCCCTGGGACACTGAGCCAACATTTGGGCTTCCAGATGTGTGTGTTTGACACAGAAATCAAATGGACAGAGGTGCTTCAGTGCTCCTCTTACAAGATTCCAGGTGCAGTCGAAGGGCCTCCGGTGTTAAGCAAAGCAGATGGCGGCGCTGGGCTAATGCAAGAGCTTGGGAGCCAGAATGGCCCCAGGGAGCCCTAGCTCCTGTCCTTGCTGGCCCTCCTTCTGTGTCTCCTCCCTGCTTGCCCCTCTGTTCCTGCAGGATGGGAGAGACACTTCAGACACCTTGGTTACCCAGGACAGCTTGAGCTACTGTGCTTTCTTGTTTTTCCTGTGATTGGCCTTCTCTCAGCTTCTATTTGTCATTTACTCAAACAAAATGCCTTTCCCCTCTCTAGCCTTGGCCCATAAATCAATTCTGTCTGCTCCTGACTGTTTGGGTGTTCTCCTGTAAAAGCTTTCCAGTTTATCCAAGACCCTCCTTTGGGGGACACAGGAGTCCATGCTGTCCCTCGTGCAGATGCTGCATGATTCCACAAAAGGTTTGCCCTAATGATAGCAGATGCCAGGTCACAGAACAAGGTACCAGGCTGCAAATCGTTGTTGAAAATAACATCATGAAGTTTTTTCCCAAAATTTCACTCCTAAGCTCATCTGGAAAGGAATGGCTGTTTCACTCCAATCCACCACTGCATCTATTCTCACAACAGCAAGAAACCCGAGCACAGCTCAGCCTCAGCGAGAAAGCTCCTGGCTGTGTTTCCAGTATTTTCACAGCCATTCAGGTTTGGGACAACAAACTTATAATCTCAATTTATAGGCCAAACCTAGGAATGCATTAGGCTTTGGAAGGACACCACGCTCACCGTTTGTCCACATGCGACCACTTGCCTCGCCAGCTTTGAGGAACCAGTGAGGCAACCAATTGATTCCGTCTGACTCGCGATGCAGGTTCTTAAGAACCCTTCCGCCCGCCCCTTGCTCCCTGAGCCCTCACATCCAATGGACCACAGTGCCCACCCAGGCTGCCTGCCGCCTTCCACAGTCACTTCCTGCGACTTCCCTTTCTTGGGCCAGTGCCGCAGAAGGAAGAGCCCCTGGGCAAGGTGAAGTGGTTTCTGCTCTGCATGCCCTTATCCCACCAGAAAGCCTGGTGTAGCAGCATTGTCCAAATGCTTCAGGGAGAAGGGACGGGGCCAATTTTCCAAAAGTCAGCAGATGGTAAGGATGGTTCACTTTTCCCATCGCAACCCAGGAAAGCCCCGGGCATTACAGGTCAGCGTGTGACATCATTTCCTCAAAGATGCACTGGTCCTGGCCATGTGGTCTCCTAGGTCCTCCGGGGACAACACTAATGCGAGACATGGACTCTTAATTGGTGCCTGCTAGGACTCTACAACAAAATTCTGGTCTCTTTCAGATATGGGGACTAAAACTAAACCAAGGCCACTTAGTGTTCTAAGGCCATTTTAACGCTTACACCTCCTTCAGTTTGTGTCCCATAAACGTTCTCA